AACGAAGTCTCCTGGCTTCGGAATGCTGGAACTCCTGGCAGCGGTCGATCCGGGGCTGGAAGGACAGTCTCCCACAGGAGGCACCTGTGGCGTGGGCTTACGTGGTCCCGGTTTAGCAGTCTTTGTTACTGTAGGTTGCTCTGGCCTCTCAAGGGTCTTCTGCATCTCCTTCTGCATGAGATTGGATACCTCCGACTGAACCACATTTCGGATCTGAAGCAGACAAGCAGAGCGCTGAATTTGGTTTCTTCTCGCAACAGAGCATAACATATGGGATAGGTGGCTGAGGCTAGGACGCAATTAAAAGGCTTGCATTTGGATCACAAATCCGCAGTACGTCCGAAGAGACGGTGACCCTACAGGGTGGTAGATTTACACAGTATACTTTCGAGTTTATTTTGCCCCCATCCAGTCAATCATAACCCTGACCACCAGCTGGAAACTTTAGGCTGCGGGGCACCCGTAAACTGTTTACAATCCACCTGATTGACCCCGTCTGTGTATCACTGCGTCGTGTACGGGCGTTCGCCATTTCTCTACGACGTAAGTGCAGTCATGAACTGCGCACGAATCTGTTTGTAGTGCAGTTAGTTTAAACTGCATCCACCTCAATCCTTTCTCCCCCTCTACCATGTTCTGATGAGAAAAGCATAACCAAGAGAACTATTCGACGTGGTGTAGCCTAAATTGAGGTTATGTTCGAAGTTTTTTAAAGCAGCAACAGAGCGGCAGAGAGAGTGAACTTACCGCTTCCTGACTCATTCCCGGAATCACGTTTTCCGTTTGCTTTAAAGTCGTCGTTTGGGCTTTAGAGGCATGTGAGGGTATGGAGTCACACGAAGTGTCCTTATATTCTGGCGCAGAAGGAAGAAATAAAGGTTTTTATAATAGGGTTACCGGACGTCAGGTGATTCAACCACAAGAGATACTTTAAAGGCATTGCGTCTGGGAAAAGGTTGCAGACCGGACCAAATGAATACGGCTATGAATGCAGCTATCTATGACCACTGCAGAACGGGTGGAAGACGGGGTAGGCAATCAGGGCAAAGGTTGAGTAGACGTAGATATTCATTAATATTCAACTAATAGGTTTTTATACACGTTACCCAAAAAAAAAACATTGGTAAAATGAGATGCAATATTTATCAGCATAAAACAGCCCTGGCTATAATACTAGCCCCTGTGTGGATTCTGGCGGGGGCGCGAAAATGAGCACCAGGGCACAACGTGACAAGTATGTCCTAAAACGCAATCGGGGGTATAAATCTCGAAAGTGCAGCAACTGGAAGGATAGAAGAGCAGCATAGGATAACCCCCATCCCTTCGAATCTATAGCGACGGCAACGCATGCGAGTATCGGTGGGAAATGTGGGTGGTGTTCCTTGAGGAGGCAGTGTGAGTGGAGTAGCAGGAGGGGCTGGCGAGACAGGGTTAGTCACTCTATGCGCACAATTTCATTTTCAGTCATCTGACAGCGCAGCGCGACACTAGGGGGCCGAAAAGTCTATAGGGGTGCCAACCGGTACCTTAAATTGGTCCTTGAGACCGACAATAGTACTGCTTCTTACTGGAAAGCTAGTAGAATAACTTTCGGCTAGGACAGTGTACGTGCAGTCTACAGAAACCGAATTGGAAGTGAGAGTGAGGAAGACGCTATGCAAGTTCTCTATGCTCTAGCTTCAGAAACAAGTAAGTCATCACTCATATCCAGATGGTAATGATTCTTACTGAGCAGGACGAACTGTCCTGTAAAACATTCAACTCCGACACAGACGCAAGGAGGGACCGTCCTAGACCCCACAATATAAGGGGTGGCGGAGGGACTGACCCGGGGTCAGTTGTGCGCACTTAAGACCGAAGGAGTGGTTACGGTCGGACAACCCCCAGGCATAGTGACCAACACTGTGACCCAGCGCGGTAACAAAAAGATCAGCAAACGCAGCTGCACTTTTAGCATAAGGCAAAACTGAACAAGCGTAGGACGACACAGGGCGTAGCAGGACGTCTACAAACATGCAGACCATAGCTTTCACGGGCAGCAACCAGTCTGGCTTTCAACTTCAGAAGTCACCAGGAATCATCCCAGATGAAATCTGCTGGAGATAATAAGTTGGGTATACCCTCAAAATCTGTTGGGGCAGTAATTTGTCCGACAAACCGATTTTATCATTTTCAGGAAAATTAAAAGACACTGGTTTCTGAGCAAAGTCAGTACCAACCTGCTTGCCTAAAACTAAGAACGGTTATTTTACTCCTCTCGTCTAGCCCCCAAGAAACTTACTGTTTAGAGAATTGAGTGGAAGATTACCCGACGTGTGCAGAATTAAGGCTCTCGGGTCTGAACCACACAACTATGGAATCAAAATTAGGCACCCAAACCTGTGAACCATTGTACGAAATATTTAAATACATATTCAGATGAAAATACTACCTACATAGGGGTGCACTGCTTAGTGACATGGAATAAAACCACAAATAAGTTTCTACATGGTAGAAATATGGTTTTCTGTCTGGGGTTCTATCAACCTGCCTATACCACCTAGACGCAGAGAATCGTCCCTACTTAGGTGATCTATTTTTTTACGGAATTTAGACACTCGCGTAAAAGAAGTCATTGTTACCGGACAGGGTTTCCAAAATTTACAGGTATTATATTTTTCGTAAGAACGAACGTTACGACATGTTGTACATGAAGAAGATGAATGCCTCGATTTAAAAATCGAAGCTAAGGAAACTTTACTGTTGTTCACATGGGCTGCGGGACATCTACAGATCGGTAGTTCTATCTAAAATGAGGTCCACGGCCGTCAAAAGTTCTTTTCTTAAATCAAGCGCCTGCCAGCATATTCGAGAAAGCGTATTCTTTAGTGACATAGGGACACAATAAAAATTTTCCATCTTGTTATGGGGACGCAAGCGGCGACGCGCTTAGAGCCCCCAGTATCGGAGACATGCATGGAATTAACGTTAGAACCAAAAAAGAATTTAGAAATGCCCCATGTCAATGGCAATTTTAAAATTCTTGTCTAGAGGGAAGCTTGGAAACTTGTGCTTGATATGTGACAGCATTATTTAGGATATGTTGTAAAGATGCTAAGTAGGCAGCCACTATGTTGGGTTGAAATATACGAAATTTTTCTAAATAAGTAGCCTCATTAAGGGCTCTGTCTATAACCCATAAACTACAAACAATTCCCCTTTCATGGAAGAGTAAGGCATGGTATAAGCCCAGAAAAGAAAAAAGAGTAGGCCAGAAATTAGATGAAGCCGACTTATTCCTTGCCGTTACAAGTACAGTGCGCAGTCACAAAAGGATTACCAAAGAGTACTTACGTTGTCTTTCAAGATGATTTCTTAGTCGAGAGCTTATGCGCTCAGCAAAAACACACAGTTCGCCCAATTCGTCGTCAGCTGTCCCTGGAAATTCCTCCAATGAGGCCTCAGTCCTAACAAAAGAGAGAACAGTCTCGAAGATCAAGATTTGTTTGAGTAAGTTTCCGAGTGGAAGGGATGTGTTAGACACAAAAGGTCGATGGTCAAGTGACAACCTTACGCTGTACTTGGAGTTCTCACTATTTTCCAAACCAACCTTGACTTATAGGTGGAAAATAAACATTTTAAAGGGGAACCTTCACCTATGTCAGAGGTATCGTTGAAAACAGAACTGCAAACTGGCAGAATATGTATTCATGAGAGGAACTAGTGCTACGAGCAGGCACTCAGGACGGGTGGAATGTAATTCCGCAAAAAGTTAATAAAAACCGCTTGACAAAGTGCACGACGAAGCTCGTGCCACATCGAGGCTTGCATAATGGACAATTTGGAACACTACTGAACTGGTGAGATTGAGATGTCGGCTAGTTTCAAAATAGCCCTACAAACGGTTGATTTGACTGACAGTCAATGTTTACGCACGCGGTTCCCTGGATGGAATTCTGAGCACGATGACGGACTCGACACTACGAAATCAGACTGGATTACTGGACTGCATACAGATAAGACATTTGGGAGGTCGGATTTTCTTAAAGAAGAAGGTTCTTGCATGTTTGAATCTGAACTGTACAAAACCAGTGAGAAGAGCTCCTTAACATTGAGTAGTTTTAAGGATCCTGGTATTGGCTGAAAAACATGGACTGTGTAAGGGCTGCCATTTAACTCTAATTGAAAACTCCTACAAGGGGCAATGGACAAATTCCTTCGAAATACCAGACGATTTATCGTCTCCCATGCGTGTCCAAACACTTCGAAGATCCAGAGGGCGAGACTTGGTACAATATTTGTAGACCGTATTGACTGCCGTCCTCTTCGCAAACCATTTGCAGCATCGACTTTTCCTTAGAAAGGAGGGCCAAATTGCACTGTATA